AAAACGTGTTGATTGATCAATGGTTCAAGCCACAAGATAATTATTTCTCATTAATTATCAGATGCTTAATCGGCTATTAATTACTCGAATAAAAATATAATTAGACAAACTTATTTCTCATTCCTATTCTCATGGCAAATCCCTACTTACATAAGTTCTCTTTAACGTTGCTCTTTCTCCCACTAAAAGCAAAGGAAAAAAAAAATAAAAGCATTCCAAGAAAATAATCAGACGCTGGCGTAATAGTTACAGAGTGGAGCAGGGGATCGTTCACGAATAACCGTAAGCCGTGGCTTCTTTTTTCCTTTAACTCAGCGTATATGTGTATGTATTTTTTTCTTTTAGCGAAAAGAGGTTCTTTTCTTTAATGAAAAGCTTAGAAGGGAAGGAGAGCAGAGCGCGCTTGCTCATTTAGCAATCCTTGTCAGAGGAATGTGTGAGGCTTGACAAATGGGCGCATGTAATCCGAAGCTTCCTTTTCCCCAAGATGCGATGAGGCAACTTGATAAGGTATAGGGGAGGGGTAGCGCTTTTTGGCCAATTGGGGCGCTTCATTTTTCTGAGGCGTTTGAAAAGGGAATGGTGGGGTAAGATGGCGTTCTTAGCAACGGAAATTATCAGCAATTTTTTAAGATTCTCTTTCTATATCCTCCTATCTCATTCTAACGTCTTTACCACCTCCCTTGATGGTATAAGACCACACCCAGAGCATCTGTAACCGCTACTGCTACTTTAGTAGATCAGCCGTCTTGAATATAAAATGAAAAAATACCCTTACTGGCATTTAAGGATAATTAGAGGTTTGCGTTTCGGGAGTTTAAGTCTGATTATTTTTAGACGATGCTGCGTAGATTATTAGCATAGAAAAGAATTTAAAGTTACGGTGTAAATAAAATAAGGATTACTGATATAGAGCGGAATTAAAATCTGTGGGTGCAATTTAGTTGGTTGATAATTATTTGAAATTTATTATTCATCCATCAAGAAGAACGTAATTAAAGAACTCTAATTTCATTTGTGTATTTATATTGAAACTGTTTTTTCAAAATTTTAATGTAATATTCCATTTTATTATTTCAATTAAATAAAGGGATATTTTTATGAATGGACAACTGTTTGCGAAAATTTCATTTTCAAAAACATGATTAAAAACATACATTGAAATAAAAAGATATCTACTTGCTATAAGCAGCAAATTGCACAAAAAATATTTTTGATTTATTGTTGTGTGATATAATGGATAATTGTTAGATTAACAAAGATAAAAAGAGCGAAAAATGCATACATTATTGTTGTGTGATATAATGAGCAATTGTTGGATTGTAAAAGATAAAAAGAAAGAAAAAGTACAGATATCTAAGATTTGTTCTTTAAGGTTATTAAGAAAATGTCTTTTTCTTAAAAACACTTTCAACAATTACCAAATATTTTTATACAATGCGGATGAAAATAGATAAATTTAATTGGCTGACTACAGTTAAGAGGCAGACTATAGTTAAAGTTTGAATTTATCAGAGCAATTGAATTTATTTTTATTATTGCATTATATTTTTACGTCTTTTATTATTTAAAATGGACAAATTTTTTTATGTCTAAAATTTAAAAATAAAGTTAATGACACAAAACTGTAATAGTATATTACAGTACAAGACAAAAAAAAAAAAAAACTAATACTAAATAAATAGTTCATAAATATTTTTTCCCATTTTAATCTCTTTGATATTTTTCTCATACAATTACCTAACCACGTTTTGAAATCATTGAAAAAGTGTCTAATGAACAACGATTTTATAAATAGTGTAAAAAAATGTTTCTACTAATTTCGATGAATTTAGTTTTTTTATAGAGCATTTTGCTCAAAAATAAGTGTTTGCTTAAAAATAAATTTTTAATTAAATATTATTTTTCTTTCATATTATAAAATATGCGCAATAAGCGATGTCTTTTATGAATGTTATCAAGTCGAAGTTCTAGTACAGATAATATTAAGCAAAATATATTTCGAAATCAAATCAGAGAATTATACTTCATAAGTTAATAATTGGTTATCCAAAGTTAATTTTGTATTGAGAATACCCTTTTACAGTATTAAACACTGGAGATAACTTACAAATACATAACAAATAATTAACTATAAAATGAACTCAAAACTTCTTTATAAAACGAGTTTAAAGTAAGATAAATTAAAATGTTATGAAGTTCTTAATGCTAAATTAAGTGAAAGAATATGTATGGGCCTTCTGGGTGAGTATAAAGAAAGTCGCATGGATACACAAGTTTTAAATTTGTAGATAATGGTGCCGTAACAAATATTACACGCCGAGTTAAAAAGGCAAATAATTCCTCTATACCAAACCAAAAGTGTCAAGCATTTTACTGAATATTCAATGCTAATTTTATCTGTAGTTTTCTAACGACTTTCTAAAATTCCTAAACACCTCCTTTAAATGTCCAAAAGTGTTACGAGGGCCCCCCTAGAAGCATTCATCACCATTTTTGGAAGTGATAGTGCCCACGCCGGAAACCTATAATCTAATATGACTGATAGGCATTTCCCTGTTTACTATGAAACGCTTCATAGTTGAATAAATTGTTTTTTATCTTCTTATTTTCCTACCATATACACTTTTAAACATGTTTCTACGTAATCCGTAATTTAGGCAATGGACTCCTACGATCTTGCAAATAAACTCGTACGTACGGACGTACGTACTCTTTTTACGGAGGACGGATAATATTCGCTGCCACAATCGTTACAACGTCAAGTTTTCATCATAGTAGCTCTCTCTCTTTTTTTTTTTTTCATGAAATTGTCAAACAGTCCTTATCTAAATAGCTTTTCTTCATCAAATAGAAAATAATTTAAACATATGCAACCCTTAGTGTCATTTCTTAATAACTTAAAACTTAATTTTCTATCATAATAGAATTTAATCACTATTACTTTCTATTTTTACTAACATGGAGTCTGAAGGATATAGAAATTTCATATCACAAATGGAATCAAATAAAAAAATATTGTGGAAGTAAGTTCCTTTAAGATATGCGTTCACAAAAATTTTCAGCACTAAATTATAATACGGAATATAATTTTAAAAGCGATGCAAATTTGCTTTAACTTTAATAAGGTGTTGAATTGAATTATGCTTCCTTTCAAGTTAAACCACAGTATTAAATAATCCGAAAAATAAGATTTATTTTAAGCATTAGATGAAATTAATTTGATTTTGAGCATACGTTTTTCTATTTGAAACATACTTTTTTCTGCTCATTTAGTAGGTTAATAATACAATATTTTATACTGCTTACTTTTTTTTTGTATTGCAATGCACGTAGCTCGTACAGAATATATTTTTAAATGCTAACGAAAGAAATTAAAAGTCTTATGTAAATTGGTTTTAAGTTCAGTCGAGTGAAAATTCCGATCAAAAATAGTTGTTATGATTGTGGCTTACGTCAATTGCATTTTAAATTGAATCATTATATTCAGATAGGTGTTACTTTAAGCTGTTGTTTCAAAATGTTAAATTATGAGTAAACTCTGGAAAAATAGATAAATTCGCTTTCAGATTTTGCGAAACTTGTAATATTTTATTATAAACCACGTCTACACTTGAACAGACTACAGTTAAGTAGTCAAGAATCCAAATCCGTCAAAAAAGTATGTATTTTCGATCGAGTATGCTCATATGTCTGATTTCGTCACTTAAAACATCGGCTGCATAAATTAATCAGCCTATTTGAGTTGACTCAATGACGTCATACAGTGGAAGGAACATTTCACCGCATATACTGTTTCACCTCCATAGGTAATACAAAATTTAAAGTTTTGAGAAAAGTAGGTTCGGAATAAACCATGAAGTTTTAAATGCTTAAAAAATATTTTCAAATATCATAATGCAAACAAATGTATTATAACTTCCCTACAGCGTAATCCTAAATAATCTTGCCATAATTCGTTTGAATTTTGGTATTTTTAAATTTTTTTCTTCAGAATTTGAAATATCTTAGTTTATTTTTGGTTTATTTGAATTCACTTTTTCTATACTTTAAATTTTTAATTACTTATGTACATGTATATGCTATGAAAGGTTTCTTACGCTTCTTCCTCTGCACTGTTAGAATTTTCATTCTGAAATTATAGTCAAATAACCAGCAGCAATCTGCCCATCCGATAAACCATAAAGTTTATAGTTTGAAACGTTTCTCACATTTACGGTTTTGAATCCGTTTTCAACTGGTACGGTTAAAAAATCGTGAATACAGAACTATACAGTTTTGTAACCATTTACAATTTGCATAGTTTCTAAACCATATGAATAGAACTTAAACGCACATCCGAGCTCTGTAAATGTAACGACTTTTATACGTGAATGATGGTTTCGTATTCTAATAGTGGAGGCTCACAAACTGGGGAGAGCAAGACACTGGAAACTCGTCATGTATTGAAGAAATGTAAGAAATATTGTAGTTTCAACGCTGGGATTCATACCTCTGTTCAGCTGATCATGAGATTGGCCGATTAGCCCTCTCAGCCATCGTGTGTACCCAGCTGCACAGAACTAAATTGCTCGAAAAGGTGGGCCTAGTTGGCGTGAATTGTTAAACCGTATTAAGTAGAAACAATCAATGAACGTTTCTTTTCACATTTAACAGTTTATATATCATTTTTTTAAAAGTTATTTGACCGTTTTGGTAAAATAAAAATTAAATAATTTTCTTCTTAACGATTTTTACCGAGAAATTTCTAATCGGGTGGCAATACAATCCATGCTGGACCCTGGACTTTCTGAGGTACAGAAGTGTTCCTTTTTTTACCATTAACCTGCAAAATTTATCAGAAATAAAGCAGAATAAATTACTTTGTAGAATTCTTTTGCTGTCATTTTTTAAGGATCTTGGAAAAGAAAACAGGAGAGAAAAAAATTTGACACTGTAAATACGTGGATATTTTTTCTAATATGTATCTTGTATTAATGAAACAATTATAAAACATAACATAAAATTGTGAATACTTATTTTAATACTCATTCTGATTTATACAAAAACTTTAATTGATCACTTTCAAGTTCATTTCACATTATAACAACTTAAATGTTGTTTTGTCTCTTCCTTCACTTGAATCTCAACTGCGTAGACGAAATTTAAAATCTACTGCATAGACAGTGTTTCACGAATAAGCTCGAAGTCACAGAAATTTTCTCGTAAAATGTTCAATTTACAAATCAATCGATATTTTGATATATCGACTTACAATGTTTTTTGTCGTTGGGAACTTTATCATCTGATGTTTCGTTCGCTTGAAGTTCATAAAGTAGAAAATAATTTAAGGAACTACACTTTAGCCGAATATGTTTTGTTTTCCTTTATATCCACATTTTAAGGCATAATACGTCATAAAGTGTGAATTGAATATTGATTGCCAAATAATTCTTTTAGTTCTTCTGTAAACTCTTGCAGTTATAATTTATACATTGATGAGGTATCATCGATTAAAACTGTGTTTTAGGAAAGCAAGAATATCATGACATTTTCCCACGCGAATATTATCCCCATTTCCATATAATGGGTTTTAAGGATACAATATTCAAATTATGAAAATAAAATTTTAGAAATTATATTCCTTAAAAAGGCATAATTAAAATATAAGGAAGATGATACGTATGTATTGCACAATATATATTCGAAATATCAAAAAAAGTTATATATATTTTGTACATTTTTTAATTCATGAGTGTATTTTAAGACAGCAGCAGCAATTATGTTTAAAATTTATATTTTTCAACTCCATAAAATGATGCTATAGAAGTAATATCTAGAAGTCAACATTTTGAAATTCAGAAAAATATACATTTTTTCAAAAAATCTCTACTTTTTTAATGAAAGGAGATTAAAAGTCGTGAAATTTCCGTATAAGTTTTAGTTAGTTACTGAAAATTGTTGTCCGTAAGTGTTTTAAATTTAAATATATAAACTTGATAATAGTAATGTACGGTTAAAGCAGGTGGCGAACAAGGGCGGTAGAGGCCTGGTCAAAACTACTTTCCATTAGATGCCCTTGAAAAGAGAAATTCAACTGCTAGAGGGTTCTTATTTAAAACAAATCTTGTTCAAAAAAAAAGAAGAAAAAAAGGTAGAAAAATATATGTTTTTAAAAATTGAAATTAATATTTAAAGTTCATTTCTTCCCAAAAATATTAGCTGAAGTTATTCTACTGAATAAAAATCATTATTCCCAACTTAATTTTCGTAATTTTTTTTTTCTCGAATTTATTTTTTTTTCCCTTTAAAATTTCAACGCCCTGGAACTTCCTTATCAACTTTGTTTCGAAAAATATATTTTTCCGTTATAAATTCATAAATCATAAAAGTATTAGTTTTAGTGTCGTTTAATTTCGTCGAATTAGGTGCTCCTTTATTGGCTGGATGACTAGAGCGGTAACCTCCCTGATCTCTCTGGCATTAGCTATGAATGAATTGTTAAATTGAAAACAAATAAAATGAATTTCTATCATTTTTTACTTTTTAGTGTATGTTCGATCACTGTTAGGCATTTTTAAATGACAAGTTTCGAAATTAATTTTTCCATAGGTTAATCAAAATCAATTAATTTAAACGTATTGTAATCTTAAATCGAGAAAGTATAAACCCCAGTACTGATAATTAACAATGATTATTTTTAGCCCTCAGTCTCGAATATTTATCTCTAGTATTCTATTTTATTTATACATTTATTTTGAAGCTATACCCGAGCTTTAAAGATCACGAGATAGTTATAAAAATGGTATAGCCTAGTACATAAATAAGCAGTTCATTGGGACATTTGTAACCTAAAAGTTTTGATATCAATTTCAACAAGTTTGAAATTGTTCATTAACTGCTTATTTAAAGTCAATTAATTTTGACGCCTTGGGATTTTAGATTAAGAGAGCATTAACCATAGAACTCATAAATTAATTATAATTATTCTCCTTTGTACTTAAACTTGAATCAACAAAACATTTCTTTGTAGTTATTACCAGTCTATTAAGATCAAGAAGGTAACTATAAATATGAAAGTCTACTAGATAGAAAAGCAGTTCTTTGAGATATTTGCAACCGGAAAGTTTTGAAATAAATTTTAGAAAGTTTTTAAAAACTTATATTTTAAGCACTAAGTAACGCTAAGCTGTCTTAAAATATACTTAATTTCGCACAATTCAAAGTCAACATAGAGCAGACAGAATTCAACAAATAATTGGCACATAAAAATTGTTCTCGCTTTGCCACAAAATAGATAAAATTAAACTTCCAAGTTTTCAAAATAGTTTTACATTGAAGCGTTTTTGTTATTTAAATTTTGCTCAACTCATAACAACTCGCGTTATTTGCGTTACGAATGACTTAGATGCGTTAGGTAAGGATGCATGGATGTATGTCCAAAATGTTGTGCAGGAGAAATCACCGGATACGGTAACGTGCTAGTAGCCGGAAGGTAAGGCAATTGGTTGCCAAAAAGCAATCCTGCTGCATATGACGGAGATGCAGCATAAGAATTGGGAAGGCTGGAGACTTGAGATGGAGGCAAAGTAGGACTGTTTGCATCCATTCCCGGATTTTGTTTTTTCCACTTTGTTCTTCGGTTCTGGAACCAAATCTTGACTTGTGTTTCAGTTAATCGTAAGGATAGTGCCAAGTTCAAACGCTCACATACTGATAAGTACCGTGTGGTTTTGAATTTGTTCTCAAGAGCTACTAATTGCTCGTAAGTAAAAGCTGTTCGAGCTCTTCTTGGTTTTCCAGCTTTACTGTCCGAATTAGACGATTTTTTCTTTTTATAAGAGCCACCGAGTCCTTTGCTCGATTCTTTGTCCGTAGATTCGTCATCGGTTGCCGATGAACGAATGCCATTAGATCGTGGCATGTGACCACTGTGACTTGCAGATGAACCATCTCTGTTTTCATTGTCAGCTTCGGCCACTTCAATGACATCTGGTAGAGGAGACATAGAGTCTTCTGTAAAAAGAAAGCATGTTTCAATATATTGGTAGATATACTTGAAGAATTTATTTCGCAAGCTGATAATGAGGTTGAATAATTATGGTACAAGAAAAATACTGAGAAAATGTCAATTTTCAAATTATAGCTGATCAGACTAACTAAACATAAACTAATTTTACTTTTTTCAAAAAATTAAATGCTTGCAGAATGCACGGGTTTTTTTGACCTAAGCCTTTGAGTGTCAAGAACCTTACTGCTTCACGTGAATTACCCATGCTGAAAAAAAATTTTTTTTCTTCGTATAATTACTTAATATACTTACCGTGGAAACCTTCCTGTTATTATATGCGATAGCGCATATGCGTACGGCATGTTCTTCAGAATCTCATAACCAAAATTAATATTTTCGGGTGGAAAAACAGTTTATCTGATAGTGCACTGAAAAAGTTCAACCAATAATTTGATTTGTATGCAACAGACTGAACTTCTTTTAAATGAGAATTTGCAGTTTTAATAAAAGTAAGCAGCAACATATTTACAACGGATTGACGAAAATTAATTTATTCGCATGAAATTTCCTTAAGAAAATAAGTTTGTAGATGAAGTACATTTTACTTTGAAATCTTATAAATCCTTAATTGCTTTGACAAAAAGAAAGTAATAAGTTCGTTTGTGATTAGAAAAAAATGCAAATCTTACGACCCTGGAAATTAATTCATGACACTAAAAAAAACATTTTACTCCGAAAAGTCGATCTAAAAATAAACAATTAATTTAATGAGAAATGAAAACTAAACGTCGACAAAAATTATTAAAATATAATTTTAATTTTACCCTAATTATAGTAGAAGTACATTAAATATATTTATATATTTAAAAACGGTGAAACATGAAATACCTAGAGTATTTTGTTTAAAAATTGCTATATGCTTGTTGGAAAAATTTACGATAGCTTAATAATTATTCAGTAAAAATAATTCGTAACTAATTTCTTCAATAAAAGGCCACATTCCTGATGTTTTGGTTTTATATTAGTGATCGATACTTGTGAAGAGGTTTGAATAAATTTTTGAATTATTTTTTTACTTTTGATGTCGCACATAAATATGAAGAAAAAAAATTATTTTTTTCGCTGCTCTCATCAGGAAATTTCCCCGTTAAACCATAATATCGGTATTTTAAATCACATTCGCAAATGCGGGTGCAAGTTTAGTGCAACTTTAACGAAGTGTTAAAATTGAACCACTACATGTTAAGAATGCACCATGCACCAAGCACCATGTTAAGAATGCAGGAAATTTGAACTACATTTAAAGCGACGATAACGACGATCCAAAATTTTTTACAGTGAGTGAAGTACTAAAAAAGGTTAATACTATTTTAAATTCGTTGATTCTTTTTCCTTATAACAATGATGCTGATGATGATAATGATAAACAATTGTTTCATTAAAACAAAATTCAAATTTTAAAAATATTTCAATTATACAAAAAATATATTAAATCAAACAAATTCAAGTATTTAAAAAATTAATACCACTTTCATGAAGCTCTGCTGTTCTTTGTATAAAAATAATAATAGATAAAAATTGCTTAATTAAAACGTGTTTGCTAAGTTAAAAGCATTTCATCCATGCAGAAGTTATTCATCCAATACTAATTTGAAGAAGCTGTTTAATTTTTAAATCTTATTAAAAATATTTGAAATATAATTATTTTAAATCTGATACACATTGTAAGAAAAATGTTTCTTTTTACTGTGGTGTGTAAGCGCCTCCGATCAGAGGATGAAATAAAACGCAATACATTTTATCAGATCTTTAGAGAGGAAGTCCTAATTGAAAAACATCTGAACTAATTTAATTGCTGATGAAGTATTGCTTATAATCGATTTTCTCCTCCTGTCTGTTTCCTACGGTGAGCAAATAGGTTTTAATGTTTTCAGTCAACTTTCTAAAGTAGAGATTTGTTAGAATTCGATAGTGTGCATGCTTCCTCCTTGCTTATACATTAATTTACAGCAAATGTTTAGTGCACATTTTTAATGCTTCATTTTTGACAAAATTCTAAAAAAATATATGTTAATAGTGGTGATTACAGAACACTATGTTGTATTTTAAACATATTTGAAAAAGTTGACGCGACATTTAAATAAATTTTGTTTTGTATGCCGAGGATACGTTACTTCTGAGAAGTACTGCTGTGTTCTGCTTATGTTTATTAAATTACACGCAATCCATGGAAATGTAGGCAGCAGCTTAATATAACCGAATTGTAACAGCTTTAATAACTAAATAAATGAATAAATAAAAACAACTGAAGTATTTTAGAAATATTACTCAGTTCATATTTCCTTTTCTTTAAGCAAATTATCTAAAATTGACAGCATTTTTTCAAGCACCAAGAAAAAAAAACCCCTCTATTTACTTAATATACACTTAAAAGCATGCAATGCACTCGATATGCTAAGATGCTCCGTAACTACCGCTCTTTACTTCTGCATATTAGAATTCTTGTCAAAAAAGAAGTAGAAAGAAATACACGTTTGGTGTTGAAAATTAATATTCAAGCAAGAAACGAAGAAAAACATTATTGAAACTAAACTAATCATTAATGAGGATCGAAAAAGTTAAAAAAATCTAGATCTCCTTGGTTGAACGAGGAAGTTCGAAGAAGGTTAGACTGCCATAAAATTTTAGCTGGCAATCAAACTTCCTCAATAGAAATTCGTTAGATTTTGATAATGTGCAGATTAATGACCTTGATTACAGAATGTTGGAGAGAAAGTACAATTTTTTTTTCTAAGCAAGTTTATTTTTAGTCTTTTTCAGCTATAAATTGACTTATCGTACTTATAGTTATTTATTGACTGAATATTTAATAATTCGAGGTTCACTTTAAATATATAAAAGTGGCTCAGCTTTAATTCATTAATAGTAATTTTAAATTAAAATTCTGAATATACTGAATTATTAATAGTAATCTAATACTTCCTTTTCTCCCAAATATTAATGTAAAGAAAGAATAATAAAAAATCAACTACTAATACCCTTTTTGAATTACTAATATGAGCTAATGTAAAGTATTTTTTAGCCCCCTCCCCATTGATTGGAGTTTGAAAGAGTTAAAAAAAAAAAGAAGAAGAAAAAAGAAAAACCCTAGAAAATAAGGCTCCTGGGGTAAGGTACTGCAAGAAATTAAGATTATTTTTTTACATGGCGAGTGATGTATCAGTTTCAGACGTGATAATACCCATAATTATTTAGCACGGGTGTTAAGTGAGCAATTTAACTACAAAAGCACTGTGATTAAAGAAGATCTTTCTATAGAGAAATGCAGACATTTTCTTATAATTAACGCAAAACTTGTGAAGATGATTGCACTATATTACCTAGGATATTGAATAGGCCCCAGACAATTATTTGAAGTGACTTACATTAATCTAGAGATTTAATTTCAAGAATAATAATTACTGCATTAAAAATGATCTACAAGGAGTTGAGTACTGCAGAAAAAATGTTTCGTTGAAAAAAATGGTAGGAAAAAAAATTAAACCCCTATATTATGTACTTTTTTTAAAAAAAAATATTAATATTTAATGCTAAAAAGAAATTTTGTTACGAGTACATTCATTAATAAATAGTAAGTAGCGGAAAAGGTGCTTCTATATATTTAAAAGAAGAGAGAGAAAGCGTCTGTATTCTCTAAAATAAAAATTCACTCTTGCACTGAGAAAAAAAGTTTGTTCAAAGCTACCAGAATATGGTTAAATTTACCGTTTTTCTGGCTGTATGGGAGCACCAAAAAGCTCCGTATTTTTTAATGAAATAATTTGGTAATGATTTTTGCAAAATTAACAGTAAATTATCGTTTTATAATATGTGTTAAAATTTGGTAAAGGCGGTACATTTTGGTAATTTCATCATGATACCTTAGAGCATGGCATAAAAACCATTTCTTCGGTTAAATTCCTTGGTTCGATAAAAAATTCGGTTCTTCGTTTTGATTTTTTTATTAAGTGCGTGGTAAAAGGAACTATCATTTTAAAAACCAGAATTTCTGGTAAACCGTTACCATATATGAACGGAAAAGTTATCAAACGAATGGTTTTAATAACGTATATTTTGGTTTTAGCACCAGAATTAATTATTTATTTTTTGGTTTTACAAAAAATGTCTTTACCATACAGTTTAGAATACAGTTGCCAGAATAATGTTTTTCGCACCAACAAAGGAAAATATTTTCTAAAAATAGTTTAAATATAATTTCTCACAAGGATCATAAATTAAGTTCATACCATGGAATCGATTAAAGCTTCTTTCTATGCATTCCTATTCTCTAAAAACTTATTTATTAATGCCAAAATTTTTATGACACTCTTTTTTTCTACAAATTCTGAAGTGATCGATATTACCTATATTTGTTGATCAGCCTTTATATATAAAGTGCTATATATAGTGTAAATTTGAATTATATTTTCGTATTTCTTAAACTTGAAGGCTCGATACTATGGTTCAATTTAACACCTTTATAAGATTGCTGCAAATTTTCACCGTATTATGATTCAATGAACCAATTTGACTGAGACTGTAACTAGCACGAAACCAGTAAACAAAGCTCGATAGTGAATAAATTGAAATTATAATTGAATCAGAATTGAAATCTTTTTGTGGTGCACGGAGAAAAAATTCCGGTGAAAATACCATACTAAATGGTAATGGCATTTCTGGTTTAAAAAAAAAACAAGCATAATTCTGGTTATAAAAACCTAAATATGTACTATTTATTTAGGTTTTTATATCCAGAATTATTCATTTGATAATTTTTTCTTTCATATAGTAACGGTTTACCGGATATTCTGGTTTTTAAAATTATAGTTGTTATAACCAACCATTTAATAAAAAGTACAAGACTAAAAAGTAAATTTAATAGAATGACTGGCTTCTATTTTATTTATTTTTTTGCCATGTATCATGATAAAATTTTCAAATTTTGCAGCATTTAAGTAAATTTTAT